TGTGTTCACTGGGTGCCAGTATTATGCCCCATTGTGTTGCTAATGGATTGCTGCAATGAATCACCAAGTCTTGGTGTCTGGACTGATTACCTATACTCATGCACTAGTTGCCCACTGTGGTGATTGACTCATTCCACGAAGTGATACGTTGGCTTATATTGTACTTTTTCATACCACACAATATACTAAATTTCCAAAATAGCATTCCGTATGCACCCTCAAAGTACTTTGAAGACTGTCGACGTAGGGTTCTGATTTACTGTTATTCACTGCTAGTTCATGATAGCAACTTCAGTTCCACATCATTTTGAAATAGCATCACCATTATAATCTACATTCAAAGTACTAGGTACTTCCAATAGCAGTATTCCGTGCAGTGTGACTTACATTATGACACAATGCCATATGAGTTGTTCACATTGCCTTTTCAACTAGCATTACAAGTCCAAATTAGCATTCTAACGAGCATTATATGACCGAATAGCTAGCAATGCTAAAAGCATTTTGAGCTGAAATAACTAGCATTACCCGCCGAGGCCTAATTCCATTGATTGGTGACAGAAAAAACAAAAGAAATTATAGCAATAAAAACTGCTTTATGGCAGCTTTCTAAAAAAAAGTTATTGTGTTCAAGTCCTGGGTCCGGCATAGGCTAAAGAAAATTTATAAAATTGCTTCCAAACTGGCTTGGACTCCGTTTAAAAAGTAAGAAATTAACGAAATGTGATTGCCGAAAATTAAAATTTCACACAAAACCTCACAATAATCACACACAGGATGAAAAGCTAGAAGACCTTTTCCCTTCGTGATCCTCTTTCCCATGCATGCATGTTGGTGCAGTACAAGTACAAGACTTAGTACAGTGTCAGACTAAACAAGTGTTGAAAGCAGTATTTTATTGTCAAGTGTTGTGATTATTGTGAGGTTTTGGGTGAAATTTTAATTTTCGGCAATCACATTTCGTTAATTTCTTACTTTTTAAACGGAGTCCAAGCCAGTTTGGAAGCAATTTTATAAATTTTCTATAGCCTATGCCGGACCCAGGACTTGAACACAATAACTTTTTTTTAGAAAGCTGCCATAAAGCAGTTTTTATTGCTATAATGACTAGTGTACAATGTACAATGTACATGACTGATTGTGTAGCGTTGGTCACGCGTTGATCACGCTACAAGCTCAGCATTTGCGTGTACGTTCAGCATACTGTTCAATACGACGTTCGCTACAAGCTCAGCATTTGCGTATACGCTCAGCGTACTGTTCAGTACGACGTTCGTTCTACCATACAACGGTCGCATGACAGTGCGTTGCTGTTTGTGATTATTTTCCATAAATTGCGTTTATTTTATCTTTCACAATGAGTTCAGAGTTTTACTGCTAGAGGCAGTTTTGCCGTTCTAGAGAGAGAGAGAGAGAATTGTTAATAAAGTTAAAGAAGTAGTTTCGAGTTGTTAGAGAGGTTCCGGGGTACGATTTTCCGTGCCAAAATCCGTATGGGCGCTACGGATTTTTTCCAAGCGTGCTCCACACGATTTTTAGGCACGGAAAATCCGTGTGGACTGGCTTTCATACGAACCATGTTTCGTATGGAGATTTTGCGTCATCGGGTGCAGAAAGATTTTTCGCGTACAAATTTGGTACGAGAAACATCGATTTTCTGCGGGAAGTTTTGATTTCGGTACAAATTTTTAAAATATAAAGGAATAGCGCGGGAATGTGACGTGTTTGCGATCGTAACCTAGGCAATGACGGCAAACACATAAGTTCCGTACCCCGGAACTTTTCACTGCTCGAAAACGACGTATAAAATATCCGTAGCGCCTCCACGGATTTTGGCACGAAAAATCGTACTCCGGAACCTCCCTGTTAGGTTGTTTTGCCTCCAGGCCCGCTACAAATGTACATGTATCAGTCAGAGTCTCTTTTATGGGCAAAATAAACCCAATGGCAATGGGATAGGTTTTCCATGTGTGGGGTGGAAGATTCGAGTGGAAGATTCGAGCGATATGTGATATGAGCGATATGTGGGGTGGAAGATTTGAGCGTGTGTTTCTTGATGTACGGGTTTTCAACCCTTTCGCACAATCGAATCGGACCTCCTCACTCACCAGCACGTACATGTACCAGCGCCATGAGAAGGAAAAGCGTCGACACAATGGCCAATGCGTCAGGGATGTTGAGCATGCCACCTTCCTACCATTGGTTTTCTCAGTCAGTGGTGGGATGGGGAAATCCGCCACCAGCTTCTACAAGCGTGTCGCATCTCTGGTCTCAGAGAAGAGGAACTTCGGAAGGAGCCGTACAGCCAAGTCATGTCGTGGATCCGGTGCCGACTGTCTTTTGCCCTGCTGAGATCCAGCATTGCTTGTTTACGGGGGGCCGGGGCGCACGGCGGATTCGGCCCCTGTCAGCCATGGACACCTCTCAGTCATGGACACCTCTCAGTCTCACCTCTGTTGTGAGGGTGGTGGCTGAAGCGGCTATCCGGTCCTGAGGCAGTTGTGTTCAGTGTGGAAGACCGGTTTTTGACATGACTCAGTCTCTACTAAGTATATCATAGTTGTACATGTACATTTGGAATTACAATTGTTATTATTTTCCATGGCGACCCCCGGAAGTCCACATAACTGGCAGGGTTACCATGGTTACCGGTTGGGCCTTTTTCTTTTCTTTTTCATTATTATTTGCCATACAATCATGTCTCTACTGAGCTAATGGATATGTTTTCCCAAGTGTTCCACAAATGTTCACCAAAAAGTTCTAAAAAAACAGAACTGCAAAAGTCTGCAAAACACAAATCACTACCAGAACCAGAACCACAAAAGCATTATTATTATGTGCTTGTTCGCGTTAGGGTCCAGCGGATTCTGCCGGCAGAACAATTGGCAGAATTGGGTACTTTTTCTGGTAAGTTTCATGCATGTTTGGTATGTGGACAAAGAAATGGAGCAGAATTCGAAGAATTGCCCGCCATAAGGTTTGTATGGTTCTGGCAATTTTACTGCTTTTCGAGCAGAATCCGCCTGTCCCTAGTTCGCGTAGACATCAGCATGGCCTGCAGCTGCATTAATGGGCACGCAAATCATGCAAACCAGCCAAACGTGTTCACAAAAGCCACTTCGAATAGATACAAAGACCACAACAGTCAACAGTTTCAGAAAAAAAGAAGAAATATGCGAAAAGAAGACAAAAAAACTAGGGTGCCGACACCACTCGGGCACAGATGCCCACCCAACCGCTTCGGTCAGCAGCAAGGGCACGGAACGCCTCCAGATTGACTTTGCTTGACAAGGAAAGTCCAATCCGCTTGGCATCATCTTGTAGTGGTGTTGGTAGTGTGTAAAAGCATACATATACATATACATATACATGTAAATAATAAAAATTTTATCATTTACATGTATATGTAATTATGAGGGCAGACCTACATGTACTTCGGTAAGCAGCAGAAAGTTATTCAGCCAAATGTAATGGCCAGGATGGAAGTAAACCTTTCTCTCGTCCTCTCTGACATTGCCAGACCCATTGATTACTTTGTTGCAGTGTCACTACAGTAATACTGAGTGTGCAGTGCCAAAGGAAAGAGTATGTCTGCTCGCTTCCAGTCCCTATTCCCACTAGCCATTGGCGGACTATGCTCAGCCAATCGTCAAATTATGCTTTTGATTATGCCACAATTATGCCAACAATTATGCTGAATTATGCTGAATATCAATTATGCTCGGTTCCACTATGTATTCACGCTGTACATAGAGGATTGAGAAACCACGCATACACACACGGCCATGCCCTAAGCATAATTTTTGTCTAAACCGAAAGATTATGCCGACCTTGCACGTTGGAATCCGTATACACTGTATTATGCGGGAGCATAATTTTTTGACAAAATCCCAAGATTATGCCAAATATTATTATGCCGGCATAATCCGCCAAGGGCTATGACAAGGAGCCGTAACTGGGGTATTAAAAAAAAACATCTGCAGGCTTTCTGACAAAGCTGTATTATGCCCCTAAGCATAATATTTGTCTAAACCGAAAGATAATGCCGATCTTACACGTTGGAATCCGTATACCGGTATTATGCCGGAGCATAATTTTTTGCAAAATCCCAAGATTATGCCAAATATTATGCCGGCATAATCCGCCAAGGGCTAATACCCACTACAAATAAACTTCAGGGCGCTCCTTTTGCGGAATGTACATGTACAATCATAATTATTGTTAGATTGACAGCATGAAACAAGGTGGAGGACACTGTGTTCGGAAACAGTGACCTTACTACAACCTTCCGCGGTTGGCAGAGCCCCGGTCCCTGCCGACCATTTGAACCATATGGGTATCGCACCCAGTTCTGACCCTCATTATGCTAGGGGGTTAGGAGACTACTCCTCATGTCGTCTTGTTTTCTTCGCTCTTTTCTTTAACTTGTATAAAGACTTCTTTTTCTTTTTTCTTCCAACTTCTGCCCATGGCGTCCTTCTCTCAGCTCGTCAACTGTCAACAGTTTTTTTTGTCATCACCATGACACTGTCGCGAGAAGGTGCTCGCGCTCTCTGTAGACGTCTACAGACGGGGTTGGTGATGTCCCGACGTGGCCATGGGTAGGCCTTCACCCCGGCTACACGTTGGTTACCTCCACTCGTTAACCTGCCTGCTGTTGATGCTGGCACGCAAACTAGTACTGGTCAAGAAAACTTGAATTTCATCTACAAACCTGAGGAACTGCTTCAATTTTGCTACACGTTGGTTACCTTAGTTTTCGGGCGGTAGCTCATGAGATTTATGGCCCTAAGTCGCAGACAATCATGAGCTCTGCCTTCTCTGTGCAGAGCGCTGTCGCAAGACAACGGTCACCTTGTACTTTTGCAGCTCTCTATTGGTTCAACTCACTCAAGAATATACAGGTTCCTGCCAGCACCCTCTAATGCAAGCAGAATTCAGCAAGCACTCCTCAACAATAGTCACAGCTTATCTGGTCGACTGTCATCTCAAACTGACAAAGGGTTTTTTCCTTTAACAAGGCATTGCAATAAAAAAATTATCCCTACAAGAAATCAGAGAAGAGAAAAGTAGCAATCAAGATGTTGAGTACAAACGCACAGAATTTCGTTGAACATATCTAGACTTACTTGTGAGGTCTGCATTCGCCACTAAGGTGAAAAGGCATAGTGGTAGCCTGCGGAAGCGAAGGCTTGTGTGTTTTCGTATTCAAGTGATGCTAATGCGGATCCCGCGAATATTATATTATTATTATTATTCCCGTGTGTTCGTGTCACGCCTGGCGCTATCCCGTATCTGTCCCGTACCGTCCCGTACCAACAAACACAGCTGGCCACATACAGCTGGCCGCAATATTCAAATAGGGCTTTCAAACGCAAGATCATAACGTGAAGCAACTTGGAAGAATGAGTATGAATGCGAAGTGTATGGGGGAATGCATGTAGGGCGATAGTGCGGGTTCGAATCCCAGGTAATGCCTGAAAAAATAGGAGAATTGAAAAATTTATAACATCCCTTTTCTTTTTTTGCCGTCATCAAGGGGGTAGACGGTGTCGTATTACCCTCGACCGTACCTGTCCCGTACCTGTCCCGTACCTGTCCCGTACCTATCCCGTACCGTACCGTACAATCAAAGACGGCTGGCCACAATGCATATTCAAATAGGGCTTTCAAATACAAGGATCATAACGTGAAGCAACTTGGAAGAATTAGTATGTATGCGAAGTGTATCGGGGGATGCATGCAGGGCGATAGTGCGGGTTCGAATCCCAGGTTATGTCTAAAAACAAAAAGTAGAAACTTAAAAGAATTTATAACATCCCTATGCTTTTTTTGTCTAGGTCATCAAGGCAAAAAAGCATAGCGTAGGGCCCTGAGCTTCCAAGCTCTCTCGTTATTATTATTATTTATATCTAGACCAATGGCATTATATTCACAAGCGATATCTGGTTGATCATTCCAAAGACATATCCAGTACGCCAGAAGTTTTAAAAAAAAGACAAAAAAAACTCTGCGTCTCATATCCGTGTACTCGGTATCATTCGAACACACAATGTGTGCTCATGCAAGGTCTTGTTCAGTTAGCAGATCATTATGGTCGAGTAAACTAAGGTTACCTTTACGAGCCACGTCATCATTCTTGTACGGTCGAAGGAGGGAGCGTGACACTGGTGGCATGTCTGGTAGGGCCCCAATCGCATGAGGGTGACTATCTCGAGTTGGAATGGCAATGCTTGCATTGATTGCACTGCTTGGTGTCTCCTCACTGCTTTCAGTGCCTCGACTGCTCTCCAACGCCTCCTCGTTCCTTGGTGGCGTGCTCCTCGACTTGTGCACGGTGGGATTCTCCGCAGCGATTTGCCCTTTGCCAGTTTCAGTGGTAATAGTACCGTACCTGCGGGGAACACTGGGAACAAGCGGCTGGTTTTCACGGCGCTGTATCCGTCTGTGCCTTACATATAGGGATAACACGGCGATCCCAATACATGCTACAACGGCAATGCTGATAGCTATGTCCCTGCCAGTTGATGGTATGTGATCCGATGAGGAAGGTTTGAAGGCATAATCAATGCCAATCTTCTCATTAACATTCTTAATGTTATAAAGTTGGCACTGGTAGGTGATGGCACACCTGCATGCCAGAAGTACAGACAAACAGCCACCAGCACCCACGCACAAACGCACGAAAACACCCATGCATTCATGCATACACACGCACACGCACACACACACACGCGCACGCACATACACACACGCACATGCACACACACACGTGCACACACACACGTGCACACATACACGTGCACACATACACACGTGCACACACACACACACAGCATAACAACTGTTTTAGCCAGAGCATAATGTGCCCAAGTCCCACTCTATTTGGCTAACGTTAGGATCGTGTGAGTTACCTTTTGATTCAGGCATCTTCACTATCCAGATTATTGCGCACAACCTGGAATGCTTTTTTGTAAATGGCATAGCGGATTTCCAGAACGAATTTGGCAGCTATTGGGTACTGAATCCGATTGGGGTATAGCAAGATGTTGAAAAAACCCGTATTGTGCTCGCTTTGGATAGATACGGCGAGCGATGGGGGGGGGGGGGGGGGGGCGACTGATCTTCCACCACTCTCCTTGAGAGGATAGCGAGAGTTATTGCTCACTCTCCTGGATTTTTCTTACACGAAGGTCTGATATGGTATTACATTTTTCTAGATTCCAACCTGGTTCTAGTTCAATGAATCATGTGAATGCTTCATTATATCTTTGTACCTTGCTGCAGCTGAAACTTTCAAGTGAATACAACCTTAGCCAAGTATGATGCCTAGTTGACCACTTAGCCCTGGACGTTGCGACCCTTACAAGGGACTGTTCTGTATCCCTCCAACAGACCAATCAAGAAAAGTTCTTCTGGGTTCGTGAAAGAGGTAATCCATATGCACACAAGGCCAGCTTGAATCAACTGCATCCATCGTGCCAATTTGTAGTATGTCAGTCCCTGGCTGAGGAGAAAGAGCTTTATGCTCACGGAGCTGTGGCATTAGGATTAGGCGAAGTTCAGCCACCAGCTAGAAAACCGCAGACAGTACCAGTAGCTGGCGGAACGCAGAGGACTTCTAGCCGGTAAGGAGCAAGGAGAGAGTTGTGCTGGCATTAAACATGCCCTCATTGCTGCTGACCCTTGAAGTTGGCCACAAATGCACAGGCCGAATAGATCAATTCTTGCGAGGGACTCTGCAAGTCGCCAGGCACAGGTTCGATGGGTAAACGGATAATCATGATTGGTGTGCGGACATACCGTAAAAGTCCGTAAATAAGTACGTATTTACTTTCGAATTTAGTGACCACACCCGTACTAACTTTCGGGCGGGTACTGACTTTCAGGCACGAACTAACTTTCGGACCTGACTTGTGTGTAGTGGAGAAGTCATTTTCATGGAGATGTACATGTTACGTGCTGCATGTGCGCATCGTACCGGTACTTATTTCGGGCAGTATGTTTATCGGGCTTGACTTGACGTTAACAGACAGAGCCAAAAGGATGAAGGGGGTATTTCTTTCGGGCAGGTACTTATTTACGGACTTTTACGGTATTTGGTTTGGCTGCCCTGTTCTGTTGAGAGAATCTCTGCCTTTCCCCCCCCCCCCCCCCCATTCTTGTGTATCGGTTCAGTGTGTACTGAAACTGTTTCCTTAGAATTTCGACACCAAGTGAATCCAAGTGATGAAAGAAGCTAATTTCGAGCAAAATCGAAATTTGGCCATGTTCGATTACACTCCAAATACATTTTTAAGATTAATATTGGTCTAAAATACTCCCGAAACATACAATTCATCTATTCAACTTACTCGGGACTATCCTTAAGCCGAACAATTCTGCTTCTGGAACCTCCAATAATGCAGTGCTGTACTCTGTCGATCTTTCCATTGGCCGGTTTCGGTGCCCATATGTACAGCGTGGCTGGGTAGACATCAGTCTGTGCAGCGCACTCAATATACGGATGATCCGAAAGGCTCAATAGCCCTTTATCTCGCTGCCGTTGCAGCAAATCATGATCTACCTTTGCACCAGCTGAGGTCAGGCACAACAAGACACAGAGAATAGAAAAGCACCAAGCATGTGCCACTGAATAGAGTATTTTATCAAGAATCAGCAGAATTGGTAAATAAGGCAAGTCACGCAGGTGCCGTGCGACTAGTCCGGTTGGTCAGGCAGTGGCCGGACTAACTGTTTGGCTACAACCGCCTGTTTACTGCTGAGGAGGTAATGTGTACCGGCTATATCGTACACAAACTGTGTATGAAAGACTAGGGTGGGGCCAGACCAATCAAAAACGTCTTCCGCTAGTCCAGAAGCGGGCGTTCCACTGCCCGAAGAGTGCTCAATGCTCGCACACCTGTCCCCCACCCCTGATCATCCATACACCTCTGCACTCCCATCCGTTTCATTTCACTGACTGGTACAGTTCGATCTTTTGTTTTTGGTGCATGTTTTTGGCCTTGACGCCGAGGCCTCAGGTCGGCAGTGCCATCAATGCCCCACCATCACTGCTGTGTCTCGGGGCATCCCCTGCTCAGTAATTGTCACGTTTGTCCTAGTCTAGTCCCTTTGTCCTTCATTATTATTTGAGTTGGGTATGTGAACATAGTAAAAAAAAAAATAGAATAAAAATTTAAAGGGGAAGTCCGGTGAAAAATTTAAATTTCAGGGTCGGTAGAGTTTTGGGTGCTAAGTCAGGCCCGTAACAGCCCCATATTGGTTGGTCCGGCAAGATCCAACCTCGATGCCTCCCCCCCCCCCCCCCCCCCCGAGCCCACACTCCTACATATGCCGGTACATGTACATTGTACAGGTACAAAATGTACATGATTGTCCGTGTACCGGTATGTACATGACTGTATGTAATTGTGACCATGCAGAGTGACATAGGGCGAGAAAAGGAAGAAGAGTGTTCTGCATGAGTCAGGAAAAAGGGCATCAGCATGTTGTGTCCGTCCAAACAGAACTTGTTGAAGCCTATGAAGGCATAGCAACACAGTATCTGAACGCATGTGATAAAAGAACCAAAAATGGACCTTTGGTCCCTTGGAGGAGGAGAAAGGACATCGCAATGAAGGAATGGCAGGAGGTCATAAAGTAGAGAACAACACCCACATAGATCTATGTACATGGTATTCGCAACAATATGTACATGACATGTACTTGAGTACAACTAGAGTTCAAACTTCAAAGTAATCACTCGATGTTGTAGTGTCCTCTTGCTATTACCATGTAGCATCTACTACCTCTACTTACTTGCTTATATACCTCACTACGGCTCTACTTATTGCATACATCATGGGTGGACATCCTGAGCTGCTTACATGTGTGAGCTCCTTTTTTTTTTTTTTGGCCGAATATTGGTCCGGCAGCTGCCGGACCTGCCGGACCGCCTGCTACGGCCCTGTAAGTCGAATGGTGCTGGTCCCACGTGTCTCCGACAAAGCGTTCTCGAGATATTTCCGTTTAAAAAAACTGAGTTTCGGGGGGGCTGCGCAATGACGTCATGCGGCCGCGCCACACCCTCCGCAACGTCATAGCGTGCAGCTAGGTCAAAAGGAGTGCGTGAAAGCAATAGTGTCAGTGCTATTTCAAATGATTTGGCGACTGATATTAGGTGGTGCAAGCGACCCCGAAGACCTAACTCCTTGTGAGAGTGAGGATGCAGCCATGGCTGACCTTCATGAGTTTGGTCTGGGGCTGAGAACCTCGGTATTCAGCTGAAGAAATAGCCGCCCGGGCCGGTCAAGAGTGAGCGCTACTGAGTTTCCGGCTGATGAAGAAGCAGCAGCTATTGCAGACGAGGCTGATATAATTATCAGATCGCTGGAGAGCAGGGTTGCCCAAATGGAGAAGAGTGATGCGAGTACTCTTAAGTTAATGTTGTTCCATACCGATTCGCTTAGACTCCAGTAGCCTGGCACATGGTGATGTTTTGGTGCGAACTTGGCATATTTCGTACTACTCAATTGGAGAACAGTGCAGGCTATTTGCACGGGCACGACTCTTCGCTCGCAACGCTATGGAATCTGAAAGTTCTAGGTCCGGGAGCTGTTCGCTGTTTTGTCACTTGTCACGGTTGTGTACTCACTCATCGCTGTAGCATAAAATAATGAGGCGGGACTGGAGCGGAAAACTAAAATTTTCTTTCTCAAAGCACAACCACCGGCACCGGCAAGGAGAAACGCACGTTCTCTGACTACATGACTGTACAATACGACTGATACGAGTGTAGTACATGACAAGCCCGTGTGTTGACTAGTTTTCTGAGTCTTGTGACTCAATTCTTGTTGTAGCTAGCAGCACGGCAGTGCGGGAGTAGTTAGCTAGTTCCGTGTGTGATGAGTTTGTTGACTGCATGCACTACACTCTACAGCTAGCATGCAGCGCATTGCTAGAGCCGTAGAGGCCCATGCATGCTGACGGAAAAAGTCCAGCTCGGAAACGGCTAAAATACGGTATAACCTCGAGGTTTACCGAGCTGAAAATCACAGGGTACGTAGTGTTTGTAACACTGAATCGAATGGTCTTGGTCCGAAGAAGCTGAGACAAACGGTTCCCCAATCGAACGCGCTCCGAATATGGCCATTTGGTACACAACTAGATGGTGTGGCTACCTGGCTGCACGCTGTGACGTCATCACCTGGATCTGGGTGATGTGCGCTCAAATTCGCACATGTTCGATTGGGCGTATCTGACGAACCATAGGCCGCAGCTTCCTCGGACAAAGACCATTCGACTCAGCGACCCGAACTCTACGGACTGTGAAATTTAAATTTTTCACCGGACTTCCCCTTTAAGCACAGGGCAGAGCCTTTGTTTGTCTAAAGGGTTATACCGATGTACTGATTGCATACCAATGACCCTTCTGACAATCCATGACACATGACGGAACCTAGTGGGCTGACTGGGCGTTGTTATTATATTATACTTAAAGGATTAACCAAAGCCTGTAGGCTCACATAAAGTCTGTAGGCCTGTAGCATCAAGCGGCTCTTCAGGGAATACAAGATGATTGAAATTGAACACAAAATCCAGAGTGTACAACCCTCATCCATGTCTCAAATGCTTGATCTACACCACTGGTTTCGTGTGATGTTGCATGCCAAGTGACCTCAACATGCACACGAGTACTATTCTCGCCGGCTTAGAGCACATTTTTGTGGCTCAGAGCATGCAGGGCTCAGCTGGATGGCGCCGGTACATCAGGAGTTTTGATGGAAACACTACTGTCACAGCAGACAGTGCTGCTTTCATTGCATGCCTTGCCTGCATCATGCACGCCTTGTACTCGTGCAATGAAATTAATGATCTCTAGAACCCTGTCTACCAGATTTTGCTTCATTCTTCATATGGTCTCAATGTGTTTGGTGTGCGAGCTCCAGATTTGCCTGAATGTTCGTTTCACAACACAGAGACATGGCGGGTTTCGACTTTCTACCCTGTGTGGATGAAGGTGCATGATTTCAAGATAAACATTCCAAACACGGACAAGCACAAACAGCTATGAAGGAGGCTTGCTTTGCAGTAGCTGGCCACCTTAGATCACAATAGCGCAACTCCTACACCATGCATTTACTCCACACCCTATATAGCAACTCACTTCTCACAGTCAAGTTGTAAATCATCTTCGTAGTGCCATTCAATTCGCACCTGAACTCATGGCTGCTAGTTACATTCTTTAGGTCCAGGGTTAAGTAGTCACCTGTCCCTTCGATGGTCACATTTCCGTCCAGCCAAGTGACAAAGTTGGCATCATACTCAGGTACATTGCAGTGCAGCGTTTGCTCAAACGGGCATTGCCAATCCTGTATTGTCTTGTTTCCCAGTCGTTCGATGCTATCTGGAACACAGGCTGCAAGCACAATAGAACCATACAAACTATTACTAACAGCATCCAGTACACAGACGGACGGACAGACGGACAGACGGAAGGGCAGTTTGGCATGAGCTTGATATGCACACGACAACACACTAGCACAGGCCCAGCCAAGGGATTCATACAATACAATGGAAGATGGCCAGACCATACAACCGGAGCAGTACTAGTCTGATTGATACTGATATAGTGACGTTTTGACGATTTGACGATTGTCTTCTCCAGAATGATACAGACAAACAGATATACAGACAGACAGACAGACACACACACACACAAAGACAGTAAGACAGACATTGAGCCAGACAGACAGTGAGACAGTGAGACTTGCAGATAAACCGTTCTACTATGCACCCCATGTCAACACATGCTGGAGCTCACGTACCATATTGACAGCGTTGTCCAAATCTCTCAGAAAAGCATTCACAGTAGTCACCATATTTGTTGACTGAACAGGAGCCATATTTGCCACAGATTATACTCTGGCAAGATGCTACATATAGAAAACACATACAGCAGAAAGAAGAGATATGATCAATAGAAAACGCTATATCACGAGGTGTATTACTGCTGCTGTTGCAGCAGGTATTGTCGCTATTGAAGTCAAAGCTAATGAATTTGCTGCTGCTGTTGCTGATGGATCACACTTACCAGCAAAGTGATCAAAAACCTAAATTCCCATTCACTGCAGCTTTTCGCTTTCAAGCGGGACTTGAACCTGGCATCCTCGGTGTATCAATCATGGTCTTAGACCATCCCAATATGCATGCCTGAAGTGGATAAACCTTTGCAACTTTACATCCTATTGGATCTGATCTTCCGAGCAACTGTCACTTGCACGTACAATTGTCCCCGCACACTGCAAAACAAATGTATCTCTCGTGGAACAAATTGAAGAAATTAATAAAGTGCAATACCCTGCTTGTGCTGCACCTCAACACCGGCGGTAGAAGTGCTTGATCGGTCTTGTCACACTGAAGCTGTTCATCCTTTGTATGTGATGAAGAGTACATAGGAAATAGATGATATGCCAAATAACGCGCAACTAGACTTGAGAGGGCATCGCACACAAGTTGCATACAAATTATACTACAATGTGTACATGGTAGGCCCTGAGCTCTGCAGGAATGCAAGGCACAGGTAACCATACAACTTTGAACTTTGTATGCAACTACTCTGCAATGCCCTCTCAAGTCTAGTTGCACGTTATTTGGCATATCATCTATAGGGGTTATGCGCTGTTGCCTCATCAATAAAAACTCGTGGTTGGTGTGGCCATGCCGGCTTGATCAAGTGGAACGGTTCCACCGTGCCTGCACCTACCTGAGCATGTGCATCTAGTACAGCGCATGTATGACAAGAACAACACAAAAAACTTACGGCTAGGGGAGAAGAAGTGGGTGTACGTCCAATTTTTCACTGTACCGTCAGCGTACGGGAGAGAGATCACCATAGTGTATGTTCCAGCCATATCCACCGTTGCCGTGGGGCATCGAAACCCTGCTGTTTGCTGACAATCTCTGGCATCAGTATTCGGCGCCCTTTTCACTATCAAACTGCATCTTTCACTTAGATCCTTCTTCTCGTGCCAAACATTGACAGAGAAGTCAGAAACCAAGTTAAAATGCATGACCATGCCAATTTCGGTATTGCGCACATAGCTGAAACCGGCCAGTGGCGTGGTTGTTGGCTGCGTGTCCAGGTTTATCTCATGCGGGCAGGTTTGGGCAACTACATGGAACACAACATTGAGAAAAGAAATGCAATAACTGCCAATCAAATAGAATAATTAAAAAATCCACCAATACAATACATGAGAAAAATGAATGTTATCTGTGTGCAATGTCGTAACCCAATGATGTCATCTGTGTGCAATGTCGTAACCCAATGATGTCATCTGTGTGCAATGTCGTAACCCAATGATGTCATCTGCATGCAATGTCGTAACCCAATGATGTCATTTGTGTGCAATGTCGTAACCCAATGACCAATAACTCACACCATGCATGACGAAGAGTGCTGGAAAACTATTTTGGTGAAATTGGTGACTGCTCAATGCCAATTGTTGAAAAATAGTAATAGCACAAGACTAGCAACCAACACAAGCTATAAGCAGTAAGGCTGGTTTCGACAGTTTCATTCATCGGCCTCAGATTATGCATGAAGAACTTCACATCCATACTTGTACTTGTACTGTATACTGTATTGGCAATTTGTTTTCATCTGGCGCATGGACTGTGACCATGTAGCCTTTTTTCTCTTTTTTTCCAAACATCCGTGGAACGAGATTCCCGGAAGGTAGCGTAGGGGCGTAGGAACTCAGCTGTGGAGTGACCTGGTTCAGGCAATCAGTGCATGCAAAGAAAATACTTGTACTTCCCTGCGGGCTATACAAATGCACGGCAGGGGAAGCTGTAGCTGAAAGCTATATGTGCCTTGGGTTCTCATAACGCTATAGAGATTACGCAATCACTTCAGTTGAGATGCTTCGGCGAAATCGCAGAGCCGAGGCACAGCGCTGCACTTGCACTAGTGAATCACACTGCAAACCGTATTTTCTCGAATATAAGTCGACTTCGAATATAAGTCGACCACCCCAAATCCAGGAGTCAATTTCATGAAAAAAGTTTTTATAGCTCCATGACACCTACACATTACAAAATGATGAATTCTCTGCGAGGAGAGATCATATCATGCCAGTAAGACAAAATCTGAACAAAACCAGTGTCATCCAATGTTCATTCAATGGACGAAAGTTCACATGGTTCGTACGGTAGTGCATTTTTGTACGGACACTCCAGTCACTTTATTTTGTTGTGCCAGATTCCCGTATGTAAGTCGAGTTCCGTTTGTCAGTCGACCCCCAGCTTTTGGCGAAATTTCTGGCGCACAGAAGGTCGACTTATATTCGGGAAAATACGGTACTTATTCGAAAATCCGCTGAGTCATGCTCGTATACTGGTGGCCATTTGAAAATCCCGATGAAATAATTCGCATAACCTTATATGGACTATTCTTCCTTATTAGGCATCCAGAGGTCAAAGGTGACTTTTGAGTCAGAACCCTCACCGCACTATACTACTTCCATAGTTGTGTGTATCGTCAGGGTGAATACGCTACAGAAAAGGGGACTTGCTAAACTGTAAATGCGTCTGTGGGTGAAGGTATACAGCTTGAGATTGTAGCGCAGGTTGATTCGGGCCAGGTGGAGGGAGACAAACAGGTTGGTAGTGTGTTGCCGGGGTTGGGCATTACAAATAACGTATATCGCCAGTTTACACAGCCTTGCAAGACGATCAAAATCATATTGCCAGAGGTTTCTAACATAAGCGTTTGATGCATACTCAAGATCAAGTTGAATTTAAGATAGGCGTGCTTGGGGAAGACAGACGAGGATCATTTTGCGTCTCCGAAGTACTGAAAATACTCCACCGACCAATGCCGACATATCAGGCGTTTTGAAACTGCTCATGCATCGTGATTTTCCCTCGAAGAAAGGAGTGTGCTCAATGGAAGGTAGGCAAGGGGGTTCGGGCTGATATTTATAATGTCAGTAATGGTTGTGGAGAGGGGACACCGTTTATTCCTAACTTCCAATCAAATGCGCTGGCTCTATTTCACTATGTATGCATAGCCTTTACTATGGTAAACTAATTGGGGTTGCGGTGAGCTCATCTGCAGACAAGAACGGTAAGAATTTCTGTGTGTGCGTGCGCATGTGTGTGTGTATGTGTGTGTGCATGTGTGCGTGCGTGTGTGTGTGGGGGGGGGGGGGGGTGCGTGCGTGTGTGGGGGGGGGGGTGCGTGCGTGTGTGTGTGTGGGGGGGGGGGGGGGGGTGCGTGCGTGTGTGTGTGTGTGGGTGCGTGCGCGCGTGATTACACAATGGTAGGGAATGCAGGCAGATTGGACTGTACAAGTAGTACATGTTCTCTAATACGTACAGCGTTGCTACCACACACACACACACACACACACACACACGCACATACACACATGCTTACATGCTCGATGGTACATCTGTCTACTGACACACTGGGATCGAGTGCCATCCTTGTGCAGCACATGAGCAGTTGTCTCTATGCAGCAGTACGCATTGTTGTCCAGTAGGATAGCGTGCTGGTCGGTCAACGCATCGAAACAGTCTACATGTGCACAGCGGTAGGCTCGCTGTTCTCCCGGTATGTCACTCTCCGGGTCCTTATTGTCCGGGTTGCACCGAGCACAGACGTCGGTGCTGGGCTCGGTATTGCTGGTATCTTTACTGGATGTGATATTGCCACTGCGTATCGGGGAGCTGCTGTTAACGGTGATCAGCACTTTGTTTGGATCATCAAGAGGGATGCGGTCGGTTATGATGCACGTTGGCGTCTCAGCAACTGGAAAAAGATGCACAGGACAGACAGTGCACAAACATCCAGCCACGCTGTGAATATCGAGAATGAGACCCACACCGCCCTGTGTCACACGTTTCTCTGCTTCTCATCATAATTCATATTTTAATGCGCACTTCATAGCGTGGCAGGGATGCAGGCAGTCCTCACAAGGGAGTGTTTCCAAGACAAACAGTACCGACGGTAATCCTTCACATGACTCAGAATCCAGACAGCCAAATTTCAATTCAGTAGAGATGACTTTCACTGCTTCAGAAATGACAGTTTAACTGCGTTAAAAGTCTACATGTTACATGGCACAAAACTCACTAGGATGTGCAACACGGCCCAATGCATGCGCAACCATTGCAAGGATAAAGAAAGTTGCCAAGTGTCCCCTGCTGTTCATTGCCATCCTTCGGAGTAGTGATCTGGTATCTTGGAGTTCAAAGTTGTTACCTGGAGGTAAGAACAAGGACAGCACAAAATCTCTCTCTAGCAAAAATCCTGTATGCAAGGCTAAGGGAATTTAGGAATGTATTGCATCCTGAACTCAAAAACAGACAGTACATGAGACTTAAAGCGTGCAGAGCCTCCACTTTTAAAGTCCTGAGCCAACTCCTCGCTGCTGCAGTTACATCATACTGTTATAGGGATAGCAGTGGTGCTGGTGGTGCTGGTGGTTGTGGTGCTGTTGCTGCTGGTGGTGCATTCGGAAATGCTATGACCGAAGAGGAACTGGCATAATCCTACTTGGGCCTCTACACACGAGACATTAACACATGTGTATCCTGGACCAGGGAAACAATCAATTCATGCTCTTATTTCATTGCTGCTCGGCTTCTTTTTCCTAATGGAGCATGTGGACAGCAAGCAGGCCAGAAATTCCTTGTCTTCCTAAGAGGTGATATGGTGGCAGACCCATACCTATCAAGACTTACACACATACCCAGTGTTCAGACTACACTGTGCACACCACACACCCGGCCAACACAGACAGTAGTGCACACCACACACCCGGCCAACACAGACAGTACCCGACACACCACACACCCGGCCAACACAGACAGTAGTGCACACCACACACCCGGCCAACACACAGACAGTACCCGGACACACGGCTAGAGAGAGAGTAGAAATGCTTAGGCCATTACCCATCGTCAGTACATACACTGTCTGAACAAATGCTCATGAACCCAAATTGGGGTGCTGTTGATAATGTGGGCGGTGGTGCCAGTGGTGGTACAGTCTCTTGTACTCAAATTCCAATGCTGTTGCCCAACGAAGCAAACACAGTGATAGGAAACTTTGCAGGTGGTTGTTGTTGTTGTTGGTGATGGTTGTGGTGGCGGCGTTGATGGTGGTGGTGGGTGTGCTCGAGAAAAATAAGAAAGAGCTACGCTAGAACCCTGATCCCCCCCCCGTTCTTCCATGCCCGCCAGTACTGTGCCCGAAAACACATACAATCATGTACATGCACGTGTGAATTATGTACGCATACACGTACATGTATGTTGAATAATTATGATCATGGTACCTTAGTGCTTACTGCCAAGGACTTAGGTGCCTCCAAAGTACAGAAATGATCAAACAGTCGACAAACTGTCGATAAAAAGAATGTTTCTACAATTTTAATTGACTTACATAATCATTATATTCATTACACTCGAGTCGCTGTCAGTCATGTGCCTTCTCAATGTCACAAAGAATACACACCGAACAGACAAGTGCCAGCCACTTCAGTACAGTCTTCACTCTCAATCTCCCGCAAGTCAAAGATATCTGCACAGCCGGTCGAAAGCAATAAAAGGCCGCTACGCACCACAGGCACAGGCCGCCCACATGTTCACTAGTCTTGCACCCTGCAGTGCATGTGCAAGCCAAACAAAGCAGCCACACCAACTCAACTGAACTGGGAGCGCAAGCTGCACAGATACAATGTAGAATCTACCAGCATATTTCACAACAGTTCTCTAGCGAAGGACCGAGCCAGGAGGCAATAGCGCAAAGGGCCGAGACCCAAACACAGCAATGAACCGAACAGTTCACAACAGCTTTTGAAAGTCCGACTTTCGTGATTTGACGGGATGTAGCTAGCCATGCCAAGGCATTCATTATCAATCACTCACCTACAACTAGATCTACAATCCCTGCAAAACAGCGATCTACGATGCGATCGGGCAAACGCAAACTGATTGTTAGAACCCAGACGTCGAGGCCCACGCGCACAGCCTCACGAACGGAAAGCCTCCACGATCACTCCTCGGAAATGTAAACCAGGCACCGAACGGCTACACCGCCAGTGCAGTGGCCAAGCTAAGGGCAAGGTCTAAGAATAGATGGAAGCTAGGCATTGATTTTGTTCCTTTCACAAAATCAGCGGCAGCCGTGGATGCTAGTGCCAGTATGCAGTACTTTCAAAAAGTAGTACTAGTACTAGTAGATCTACAGTGTAGACTGTCGGCCGTGGACGCTACTTCAAGTACTTGCTAGTGCTAGAGTAGCGATTTTTTTCTAGAAAGGAAAAGAAATGACTGGAAACTCCTGCATGCAGTGTGCATGAAACTAGTATGAATGGTTTTGGCAGTGCTGCAAGTAATAGTTCATCACGTGTCCGTGGCATAATAATGGGTATGTCATGTGAGGTAAAGCCTAGTTCACATTCGACGCAACGCCGACGGTACGGGACGTAAGGCCAAGGGCTTGTCGGGAGCGCTGGGGTGAGCTGTAAAATCCTGTAGATTCTACGATTCGTACGACACGACATGCAGCAGTCGTTGCGACGTTCACCGTCGAACGGCGCGAGTCATAACCATCGGCTGTACCAACCAGTTACATCAACATTGGCTACAACTAGTACAAGTGAATATACGGGAAGCAGTTCGGATGGCTGGGCTGAAGTTGTACGGCGTCGGGTCACGTCCCGGTACGTGAAGCCTGTGGCCCCAGCTAACCCCAACATCCTTACAGCCTACAGGCGTAGAAAAAGTCGCGAAATCTGTGTTCTACGTGGGCAATGTCCACATGGAGTGTAGCGCTAACGCAATTACTGACTGGTGCAAGGACCGTGAGGTTGAGGCTCAGTATTAGCGAATCCCGGACCTTTGGCACAGCATATGCACGACTGACTGTCCTAGCGACGGATGAAGGCAAAATACTCAGTGCAGGATTTTGGCCGGCAACAATTAGCCACACTGTCCGTAAGTGGCGCTTTGCCGACGGTACCAACGTGACTGAACGTGGTGGTGATAGTTCCTCGTCATAATCATGTTGTCTATGTCTTCCCTCAACTTGCATGCTACCCCATTCTACCCCAGATCAGAATCCGACCTAACGCTGATAACCATGAATTGTCGGTCTCTCGTCAATAAATTAGCTGAACTTTCGATTGTTCTGGAGAGCACTAAGCCAAGTATTGTTTGCCTCACGGAGACCTGGCTGTGCCCATCTGTTTCCGTGCATGTACCGGGCTATTCCTGTTTTAGAAGAGACAGACCAGCACACGAGAACAGAAATGCACACTCTTTCACTAGAGGATATGGTGGTGTCGCCGTGCTTGTCCGGACTGATGCTTTTCAACATATTCTCCACAGACCCGACCTGCAGCGTCAGGGCTGTGAATCTACCTGGGTGGAAGTTAAATCTCAATGCACCCCTAACCCTATTCTTGTATGTTGCATGTATCGACCCCCTTCCCAAACGGCGGAACAATTGTCCTTCTTCTCGGATATGCTGGTCGATGCTATACAGTCCTCTTGCTATGACGAGTGTGACTTCTTCCTGACGGGGGATTTTAATGCCAAACATAATGATTGGTGCTCTTCTGACTCCACCTCTACAGCCGGTACCAACCTACAGACAGTTTTTTTCAATGCTTGGGCTCCAACAACTAGTGAGTTTCCCAACATACACTTCATCAGCGGGTGCCAACTCATGTCTTGACTTGTTGGTAACCAACAAACCCCGACACGTCCTCTCAGTCGACCACGCAGCTCCTCTTGGCACATCTGATCATCTGCAGGTTGTTTGTACGCTCAACTATGCATCGTGCTCGACACCACAAGCGACTGCTAAATCGTCCCTCCATCCCCAGGCTCAGTACAGGTATAAACAAGTGCCTACCCGTGTCTGGCAGGTTGTGAATGAAGACTTGTCTAGGTTGGACTGGTCATTACTTCATCGGCATTCTGATGTTGATGATGCCATTGTCCTGTTTGATGCTTTACTACAGTCAGCATTCCATCGTCATCTGTTGCCTTACAAAGTTATTCCGCGGACAGGAGACTACATTAGGCCTCGTCCTACTATGCGGGATGCATCCCGACCCTGGATCACTCCGGACCTCAAGTGTGCTGTGAAACTGAAGCGAGATTTGTATAGCATTTATAGGAAGTATCCAACCAGTGAAAACTTCATTGCCTTTAAGCGCAAGCGTAACGAAGTGAAATGTTTGTCACGTACCCTCCATCGTCAGTATGTACAGTCGGTTCATGCCACCCTGTCTTCCCATGATCGCCCTAGTCTCCATCAATTTCTCCGCCATCTCCGTAAGAACTGTAGTCGGGAGCCGATCCGATCAATGACAGCTTCAGACGGCACGGTAGCAACAGATCCCGCAGACATAGCAGACATATTGAACACGCAGTTTACGTCGTTTGGACTTCCTGACGACCCTACGTGGCCTATACCACCACTCACCCCTTCACCCTCAATACCTGCGTCCCTCCTATCATTGTCGACTGGTACAGCCCAAGTGAGGAAATATCTCCGTAATCTGAAAACTGGCAAGTCCCCTGGTCAAGACGGAATTACCAACGAAGTTTGGAGAGCTCTTGCTCCGTCTGTTGCCTATCCTGTGTCAATTATCTTGAATATGTCATTTCGTGAAGGGAAATTCCCAGCCATGTGGAAAACTGCGGTAGTCGTGGCCACCTACAAAAATAGAGGACCACGCACCACCCCCAGCAACTATCGCCCTATCTCATTGCTCTCTACTTTATCAAAAGTGTGCGAACGTGTTGTATATGACATCATTTATGATCATGTTCGCATTTCACTTTCGCCAGCACAGTCGGGCTTTTGTCGGGGTGACTCCACCAGGTACCAGGTTACCCGCCTCGTGCAAGACATCCACACCGCCCGGAACGCCCATAACCATGTTGGTTTAGTTTTCTTCGATCTCGCAAAGGCCTTCGACACTGTTTGGCACAGGGGTCTCTTAGCTAAGCTGCGAACAGTATATCGCATTGATGGCAAGGCTATCGGCTGGCTCTCATCGTATCTCTCTAACCGACATCAGCTTGTACGCCTCTCAACTGTGTTATCGGAGCCTTTACCCGTTACTTCTGGAGTCCCCCAGGGTTCAATCCTTGGGCCACTGCTATTTCTCCTGTATATTAATGACCTCCCCGATATTGCCCCTGGTGTCAGCCTTTTCGCTGACGACACAGCTCTGCTTTGCTCCAATGCTTGCCCTATACGCCTGCACGAAGCCATGCAAGATAGGCCTTGACGGATTATGCTAATATTTTTGTGAAATTATGCTTTTCGCATTGCTGAAAAAATTCCCGAATTATGCTATTTTTATGCTAAAAGTTATCATATTATGCCGCATTATGCTCACAAATGCTGCTAATGTACATGATGGTAAATGGTTCTGTGCAAAATAACAGGGGAATTTTGTAGAGGGCGTTGTACTGCAGTAGCAAAAGTTCAACGGGGTCAACGCACCGTCCAACCTGTAGCTACGAACGTCACTGTTTGTAGTGGACTGGACATAATATCAAGGGAGTCGTAAACCTCCGACTTCCTGGTGCATCTACATGTACTTGTACTTGTACCGGTACTTGTAGAACATGTACAACTGTATGGAATTTGATGCGAAAAGGCGGATTATTCCAATTTATGCGATTCGTATGCAGTTAGCCTCGAATTATGCGATTATTCGATTTTGGTAGGAATTATGCGAAAAATTATGCTAGCATAATCCGTCAAGGCCTAATGCAAGATAGCATTGGGAAAGTTATAACCTGGATGCATGATTGGAAGTTGCAGCCAAACGTTGATAAAACGGCAGCTATGTACATTTCCCCTTCTCCCCCTTCCCTGCCACTTTGTTTTCCTTCTTCAAGTGTTGCTATTCATATTGTTGAAGAGCATAAGCATCTTGGCGTTATTATTGACTCTAAATTGTCGTGGTCACCCCATGTGCAGTATGTCTGCAAGCGCACAAGCTCCATCCTTGGGGCTCTTCAAGCCCACTGTAGACATCTTCCTCTTTCTTGCAAACGCTTGTTTTATCGTTGCTATATATTGCCCTTACTTGACTACTGTGATACTGCTTGGTGTGGCATAACTACTACTGTATTGAACAAGCTAGAAACCCATAACCGCATGCTCCTTAAAATCTTATTTAGCAAAGATCGTCGCTTTCCCTCCGCTAGTCTTTACGAAATTGCCAAGATCAGTCCCCTTTCCACTCGACATAAGTACCACCTCTGTGTTCTCATACATAAAATATTACTAAATAAAATACCCTTGCATATGCAGGCTTATAATTGGTTCTCCGAAACACGGAATACCCGGAACTCACTCAGTCTCCCACGCGCTGCCTCCACCCTATTCACTAGATCCCCGATCTTTGCTGGCTATGTGTTTTGGGCAACATTACCAACGCAGGCCAAGACCAGCACGTCAATGGATAATTTTGTTGCTAAAATCTCTGCTCAATTATAGGTTTCATGTATATCCTGCTGGTTTGTCTCCTCCTTTGCCTTCTTTGCCTCTTATTTGTATTCTTTTATCTGTTTTACTGCTGTGGTTGGCTTTCACCCTTGTCTCAGTTTTATTGGCCGTCATCATGATGTGCCATGAGATAATGATATAAATACAAAATACATAAGGCACGGTCCGTGACGGGGTGACTTCTGGACCTAATTTCTCGTTTTTCGGGACTTCTTTTCAATTATTTCTCCTTGAAAGAAGCGGAATCAAGTTCACAATACCAGTTTTTCGTGAAGACCAAAAAATTAGCCCTGAAAGTTGTGGCATTCAAATAATAGCCCCAGGAAATGATAGAATAGTTCGTCTGTCACGCTTCTGAACTATCCCTAAATACAATAAGTGACATGAGATCTTATGTTGCTAAAATCAACTCAAGTCGTGCTAGCCATTCTGCGAGTTGTCATGGGAAGCGTAGTGTTCGAAATGCTAAAAATTTCCAAGTACGAATCGGGAGCAGTCGGCGCACGACGCCGTCTCCTGTTCACACTCGAAATGCAGCCGTTTTGTACGCTTGCGTCCCCGTCTACGCCCGTCTACGGTATGAAAAGTTGGATCGATCCAACTCTTCCCGTCGCTTCC